CTAGTTAGTGTCTTGGGATTATTGTAAACCGCGTTTGATGGCGGCCTATTTTATGGTCATGATTGAATCCTATCACTTGTCCTATTACCAATCTGATTTCGCGTTTAGGACTGTGCTTATCAGAATTCACATGTGTTCAAAATTAGCTCCTGTAGTTGCTTTAACGTAATTGTTAAGCACCTGTGGTTGAGCTGTAGACAGTCCCTTTCTATTTGTAAACCGGTTGCAGCTAGGCCCTTGTGCTGTGTCTCCTTTTGAGAGGTTTTGCTGTGGGTATTGCCCGTGGAAGATGTGAGTGCCTAGGTATTGCTGCTGGACATCCATTGCCTAGGTACAGAGGTTAGACGCTCTAGAAATATGAGTATACATGGATTAGCGGAGTTCCTGTTAACCTCGCGACTATAAACGATATTTTACATGTGTACATAATCGCGTGTCTATTTCGCGTGTTGTACTATTTGTGTATTTGTATTTATTATACTAAACTCTATGATCTTTAAAACATTGTTTGATTAAAACAATGTATTTTGAGCTGATTCGGGTTAAGCGGTTGGATTTGGGTCCAAGCGAGGCGATCAGTAAATTAATAGTCACGTTGTAACGTTTTACCTGACATTTACCCCGTTCTTCCGTGACTCGAGGCCAGTAGTCCGCATTGCCCTATTTTGGTTGTCACATAAATAATTTGGAAACTTTCTCATTTTGGAAATCATAAAACTTGATGCATTTTTTTTTGTTGATTAAAGAAGCTGGGTAAAATAAACTTTATTGATATTCATAATATCTATTGTGTAAAATATAACATAATATACTATTCAAAAAAAGTAGGGGATATTTGATTTTGGGGGCATAATACTAAAATATGCAAATGACTACGAAAAAAGTCACTATAGAACCTAACAGAAGAAACATTTCCAGTTACATGTGACGCCCAAACGCACCAATAGCTACCGCATGGAATGCAGGTGATCCTTGGGATCATCATGGGGGTCCAACCCAAGATTTGCACGACTCTGACTTTGAATGTTACAGTCATTGTGGCATTGAATTCCAGGGTGGAAACATCAGTTTAATTGTTTTAGTGACCAGAAAACAAATTTTGATATGCGTCGGCTTACCCAAAATGAAAGGTTACGTGCTCTTGGCATGCTACAGATCGGCACAACACAGGCGGTTGTGGTGCGGACGATGAATGTTTCTCAGTCTGTCATAAGCAGGCTATGGTCCAGATACCGTGATACACAATCTGTACAGGACAGACCACGCTCAAGTCGACCAAGGGCGACAACTCAAGCCCAGGATCGATTTATCCGTACCTTGGCCTTGAGAAATCGTGTCATCACAGCAAATCAGATCAGCGCTCGTCTTCAAACAGACACTGGTGTGAGAGTGAGTGGCCAGACGATTCGGAATCGACTGCATAGGGGTCACCTTCGCGCCCGACGTCCTCGCGTGATCCCTTGTTTGAGAGATCATCACTTTCAGGCAAGACGTCGTTGGTGTAGGGATCGTCAACACTGGGATAATCGACGCTGGAGCAATGTGATGTTTTCAGATGAGTCAAGGTTCACTGTTGATTTTTTGGACAGACGTAGGAGGGTGTGGCGTCGTCGAAACGAGCGCTTCCAAGACGTTAACGTCATCAGGCATGATCGATTTGGGGGTGGTTCTGTTATGGTGTGGGGAGGCATCACTGTTGCTGGAAGAACGGCTTTACATGTTGTTGCAGGGCGTGTTACAGGCCAGTACTACCGGGACAACATCTTGGCAGTCCATGTTGTGCCGTTCGCACGACGTCATGGCCGCCGTTTCATCTTCCAGGATGACAACGCAAGATGTCACAGGGCCAGGATCGTTACAGGTTACCTCCAACAACAGAACATCACCACATTACCTTGGCCAGCACTGAGTCCCGACCTCTCCCCCATCGAGCATGTCTGGGACATGCTTGGACAGAGGTTACGTCAACGTCAACAACGTCCTGCCAATGTCCAAGAACTTGCTGCTGCGTTGCAACAGGAATGGGACAATCTGGACCAAAATGACCTTAGACGTCTCATTAGGAGTATGCCACGTCGGGTCAATGCTTGTTTGGCAAACAGAGGAGGATTTACCCGTTACTGACTTGGTTGTGATGCTGTGGTAACTTTGCTGTTTGACCCCGGGTATCATTTTACCCTTATAATGGTCAGTCTGTGCCTTACTTAGTCCAACGATCATTTGGAATAAATCGATGAATGTGAACTTCATTTCATTTTGTCATTTGTTTCTTCGTCAGTTTCATTAGGTGACTTTAATAACACTTAAAAATCAAATATCCCCTACTTTTTTTGAATAGTATATAACAAATCTAAAATAATATACCAAATCTAAAATAATATTATCTCCAACTGCCTCGCGGCATAACATAAGAAATCTAAAAAAAATATGAACACAAACCGCCACTGGTTGTCACATAAATAATTTGGAAACTTTCTCATTTTGGAAATCATAAAACTTGATGCATTTTTTTTTTTGTTGATTAAAAAAGCTGGGTAAAATAAACTTTATTGATATTCATAATATCTGTTGTGTAAATTTGTAAATAAATTTGGGATAATCGACCCTTTTAGTAAAAATAAATGTTTGTGATTTCCTTAATGAATGAAATTTAATCAAAACCTTAAACAATATAATTACACATAAAAAAAACAAGCATGCCGTCAAATAGATTGGTAGCATCAACACAAATCCGCCCCAAAATGCAAATATGAACACATTAGAACTTCGCAAGAATCAATAACGTTCAAATACGGGCGCCAAATAAGTTGAATCAGGTACGTCCTGTGTTAGGGAATCACACGAGTTTGGGGAATAATCATTTGAGTCATGTATGTACTGTTCGATAATATTTATATTTAAAGCCACCAACAGATCGCCACTCAATTTATCTGATCCCCTGTCACTTCCTGGTGTGAAATTGCTGTCAACATCTGTATCTTGGACACCGTTTTCTCGTTCTCACAAGGGTCTAGTATGTTACAAGTATAACAAATCTAAAATAATATAACAAACAGCGACATAACATAACAAAACAAAATAATATTATCTCAAACTGCGGCATAACATAACAAATCTAAACTAATATGAACACAAATCCGGACATAATATAACAAATCTAAAACAATATAACAAATCAGGAATAATATTATCTCATAACAAACAAATCTAAAATAATATGAACACAAACCCAGACATAATATAACAAATCTAAAATAATATACCAAATCTAAAATAATATTATCTCCAACTGCCTCGCGGCATGCGGCATAACATAAGAAATCTAAAAAAATATGAACACAAACCGCCACATCATATTCAAAAATAAAAAAACCCACCCTAATTTCTGGTGGTGTGGGGGAGGGGCTCTTTATCATTGGGGTCGTTGGCTGCAGTCAAGTCAGACCCCCCCCCCCCTCTCTTCATCCGACACTGACATCTACACAAAACGGAAAAAAACTAATGTTGGGGTGCCTCTTTATCATTGGGATCGTGTACTGATTTTTAAATATACATTATGTTTTCAATATAAGGTTTTAGACAACAACATCAATATTGACTGCGTTGACGAATACTGAATTCTAATTCGTGTTCTCATTTTCGAATATTATGTATAATATTGAGTTTCAGGGTTAGCTCCTTTGAATCATGACTACTGTTTAGAAAGTGATAAGAAATTATACAGTAGTCATTATTTAATACACATTCTTATGACTACTCAACACTAATTTAGATACATGTCATGTGCCATGAACAAGTATATTTTACAATATCAATACAGTATTATCGTGTATCGAAACCAACCCAATCAAAGAAAACGAACGTTTAGATTTTTTGCTACGGGGATTTGGAGTTGACTGAGGTGAAAATCTCACACAATGATTGCTCTGTAGAAAGGGGAAATAATTACTAGTCGGAGTCCATATTGTAATACAATTAGATAAGTGAGATATATTGTATTATACAAAGTAATAACAAATATGTATTAAAATAAACATATAATAATTTATTAAAATAGACATATAATAATGTATTAAAATATAATGTATTAAAATAAACATATAATAATAATAATAACACATATAGGTTCAACAGGAGGCATTAATTTGTTTTGACAGTGAAGTATATTTTGAATAAATGCAAAATGCAACAGTTGCCATCTAATATAGAATTTATATTTGCACAACCGGATTTATATTGTAAAGTGATAGATTTATTTATAGAAAATTTTAATTAAAAAAATATCTGATTTTCTTTTCCATATTTAACCTATATATGCATAGCATTATGATATTTTGTTTTTAATTATGTTTACTGTGAGATTTTATTCTATTTATGTTTATATATTATATTGTGATTATTTGTTCTGGTTTGTCTGTCGGCCACACCATAAGTGTGGCGCAATATAACCCTGTTGGAGTTGACGTATCACAAAACACCATTACATTCACAACACAATGAAATAAAACAATTCATTCGACGGGGCAACAATAAAACAATAATAGATAAAACAATAATAAATGGAATATATATGTATATAAAAAAATAAAACAATAATAAATGGAATATATATATATATATATATATATATATATATGTGTATATATATATATATATATATATATAAAAACAATAATAAATGGAATATATAAATTGGAAATTTAACCATTTTAAAATACAAATGTGACATTATCCTTTGATGTTGGCGTATCTAACAATATATTATTCCAGGTGGAAGTTTTTCGATCGTGTGAAATGCACATACGGGATAGTTTCTGCATCTATGTTTCACCTAATATCTTGACCATACCATTACACCACATGTAAAAGTGTCGAATATAAATACTATCATTCAAAGCATATAATTATAATAGTATTAAAATAACCAAACATAACAAATTAAAATAATATAATTCTGTTAACCTAATTATATATAATTAGTACAATGATTCATTGTGACAATTTGGATACAATTTCTAGCTGTACTTACAGTTTATACCGTTTAAACAACTTATCAATGATATCGTCCCAAAGGCTTTAATTGAATTGATTCTGATTGCAGTAGTGTATCTGTGTCTCCAGGTTCTTCTTCCATATTGACATCTGAAACCACACAAACATACCCATAGGTGAATTCAGTTATAACATTTCTATATTCTAATGAATAATATTATTTTATGCAATTGCAATCATATTTTTTGAGTTTAACTCTCCGTCAGTTCTATTTGGTTCAAATAACCAAGCGAATGTTAAAAATATCTAGAAAACAATACCTTTGTCTAGTTCATCTGCTACGTCAACAAGACCAACTTTTCTTAATAAATCAATTATTGTTAATAGGACATCTTTACCACGGTAACTCAATAAATCAAATAGTTCTCTAGCACCTTCCTCGCTGTTATCCTTTCTAATTATCTCACGGTCGTCCTTATCTATAATCTTCATTTCAAACAACTCTTCTGTTATCTCCGGCAATTTATCTTTGATATTATCGATCAAGAACGTTTTATTATGTTCCCATATCTCATGATGGTGTTCATCCATTTGTTCGAATCGCGACAAATCTGAAAACCAAAGAATGTGTTTAAAGCACTGAACAAAACCGAACCATAATAAGAAACATTTGAGATATTTTGGGTATACAACCTAGAAGCAGGGACGTTTCTCGAATGAACTGTGTATAATGTGAAGACAAATCTATAATCAATTCTATTATTATTTATACCAGCGCACTAATTAATTTAGTGAGTAATAACTCCAATATCTCGACTTTTATTACATAATATATCTGTGCACCTTTGCTTGCTGATCTGTTTCTCTATTCGTAGGAAGCCGATTACACACAGACGCTCGTAAAAACTAATAAATGATCAGTCAGACTTTTTAATTTCACTTATCGATATATCGATAAATTTTTATCACTTAATAATCCTAAATTTAGTGATTATGTAGAATTCATATATCCTGATGAGTTCAAAATTAAAAACACCACTGAAAGTGACAATTACGCTTCCTACTTGGATCTGCGTCTCGATTTTGAAAATTGTCATAAACTGAGTGTTAAATTGTACGATAAACGTGATGAGTTTGACTTTCCGATTGTTAACTTTCCATTTATTAGTAGTAACATTCCAATATCACCAGCTTATGGAGTGTTTGTGTCTCAGCTAATTCGTTACGCGAGAGCTTGTTCCTTTTATTCTGATTTTTTAAGTAGATCGAGGCATTTGTCATGTAAGCTTCAACTACAAGGATACTTGCGCACTAAACTTATTAAAACCTTTAAAAAGTTTTATGGCCGTCATATTGTTAACACAGTTCATCGCGTGCATTTTGCATACCGATAGTTCATTGGCCAATCACGCTATTTTACCGACATTTCGCCTAATAGTTTGGATGCAGCTATGGCGGGTGTGGCGCCAGGCAGGGTAAGCTTACTCTTCTGGATCCGGACACCTGTTACCACTGTTTGTCGTGTATTTTGTACACGAGGAGCAGTCCATTTGCTTATTACACTATTTTGCTTGAATACACTATTTTGCCTATAACGATTTTTAGGACTTCGAGTTCTGTCTTATGGTTTGGATTGTTCGTACTTGGTTTTATTTTATTTATTTAACAGATGAGTTCTGGAATACTAATGTATATTGCCTGTAGCATATAACTGATAACGTTGACAATAACGAACAGAATGCCCACTCTAGATCTATAACATGATACGCCCGTTTTCGTTAGCCCCAGTTGTACGTGGCAAGGAGTAGGGTTGCCTGTCCAACCTCGTAGGTTTTCTCCGGGCCCTTCGGTTTCCTCCCACTGCTAAAGACCCCTACGAGCAAGCGAATTATTGAAATAAAATACTAAACCATATGCTAGTCTCGAAAAGATCTAGTCTGTGACGAGTGGACGTTAAACCCCATTTCTCTCTCTCTCGTTAGCCCGGGTGGGGAGGAAAAGTAGGACGATAAACCCTTCTTCATTTTGTATTAGATTCTAACCCACAATCAGTTTTACTTAAGGTCAGTAGCAGTGGGAGTTAACCGGACGACCCGATGTTCATTAGGAGTTTAGCCCTAACAGCCATTTATATAACTCATACGCTCTTCATCGGTACAACGGACATTAAATGTTTTCAGAATAAAAATAAAATACCTGATTCCAATTTGTTGGCTACTTCTTTCAGATCACAGGCATTCATCACTTTTATTATACGTGGTAGTGAATCCTTGCCACGAAATCTCAACCGGTTTACCAGTTCAGTTGATCGTTCTTTACACGTGCCGTTTTGAAGGTCATCTTTATCCTTGTCAACTAGAATCTTTTCAGCATGCAACTTATCTATTAACTGAAAAATATTCTTTTCGACACTTTTTATTATGCTTTTCCGATTGTCTTCCCATATTTTATAGTGGGGATAATTCAGTCGTTCAAATCTCGAAAGATCTGAAATATAATGATAAAAATAAACTTACAAAACAAAATATAGGTATTATTTCAAGCTAATGTTTTCAGTTTCGTAGAACTTCCTCTGGCTATATCATTTGCGTTACGACACCATATGCTCACATACGACAATACATACAAAACACTGTGCAGGTCGGAAAACGTATATAAAATTGATTAAGGACTGATTAAAGATAGCATTTATATTTGGGAATTCTAAGCCACGTACACTATAAATAATCCCTTGTATATCTCCCGATAAACTTTCAATTCCAAAACTTAAGATTTCATAATTCTAATCTATAAATGTTTATAAACGTGCAACCTCTATGTACATTCAAAGGGTGAAATTTTGTTTTTTCGTGGGGCTGTGTATGGGAACCATCAATGGCATATGCAATTCTAAATCAGCTTTCCTCATATCCTTCTCTGAACAGCCTTGGCATGTGATAAATCTTGAATGATAATCCATGCGTAATCTTTTGGTGATTTACGACCATCCTGATACGTGATCAGAATAGGCTTATACTGAATAATAGTGTGGAATACTTATAAAATACCTGATTTTAGTTTTTCGGCTATTTCCGGCATGTGTTGCTCTAAGACCATGATTATGGCTGAAAGGACATTTTTGCCTCGGCCGCCCAACATTTCCACCAGTTTTGCTGACCCACCAGACTTGTTATCTTTTTCAGCTTTCTCAATTGTCTTCAAATCATGAACGTCCAATATATTAGAGGATCTAAATCTTTCTTTTAAAGTGTCCAAATGTGGTTTAAAACCTTCCCGCAGATAACCATTATTCGCCTGCCATACCAGATAATGCCAGTTATTCATTCTTTCGAAACGGGATAGATCTGGAAAATTAATAATGTGTATTATGTTTAAACGCATTTAACAACCATTCTTTATGACATATTGTTTAAATTCATTTAAGAAATAGTATTTGAATTCACGTAAGAAATATTATTCAAATTCATTTAAGAACTATTATTTATATTCATTTAGGAACTATTATTTATATTCATTTAGGAAATACTCTTATTCTTACATGATTCAAGTTTCTGTGCAACCGTTACAAATCCACCAGATCGAAGAGCTTCTATTATATTTGGTAAAACATCTTCCCCTCGTTCACTTAAAATATTTACCAATTTAATAGCACCTGCTCGTCTACTAATGTTTTGATGTAATTCTATCTCTTGTAAATCAACATTTTCTAGTATTTGTCTTTCCAGTAATTTTTTAATTACATTTGTCAGAATGAACTGCGTGTTCTTCACTACAAAGGTGCCATTGTCTTGCCACACCCGGTAGTGGTCATCTTTCATTCGTCCGATACGGGATAAATCTAAAAGCACCGAAAACAATTTGTTAGATCCTATTCCAGAATAGATAATATGTAATTTTCCCAATCATTAATATTGTCCCTTGTTCTTCATAATCCCGATTGTTTTGTTCGAATACGACCTTTCGGTTATGCTATGTAAGAGTGTCAGGTAACATTTTCGACCCAAAGGTTTTTATCAACATCTTATGGAAGTTCTGATGACCATTTATAAACATCCGGACATAATGGGTGACGTTTCAGTTTTTAGCTTTTCGCTTTGATACCTGAAATCCAGATTTAGATTAGTAACATTCATATTTGATTTTGAAATCATGGTTTATAATTATTATGCAGACTTACCAGTTTCTAGTTTCTGTGTTACGTCACTAAACCCATGGTGTGTCATCGACTTGAGTACATTAATAATATCCAGAAGGACATCTTCACCACGTTCAACGAGAATCTTTACAAGTATACACACACTATTCCACCCGCCTATCTTTTTACCCAAAGTAATTTCACTTTCATCATCGTCATTAATAATATTTCCTTCAACCAGTTTAGTTGTTAAAATATCAATTTTCTCTCTGGCAGCTACCATGAATTCTTTTTCATTTTTCGCCCATACCATATAGTGCCTGTGTTTCATCGATGTAGTTTGCGATGCACCTTAAACAAATACCAATATGTAATTGTTGTAGTTTGCCTATTATTCTTTAAGTCTTAATTTCGAGAAGTTGTTTTTACATAATGTTTTATATTGTGGCATCTATTATCAAAATTTTTATTCTTATAGGTATTGTTTAATTGTCGAGAGCGAGACATTAAGTAATATATTTTACAATATATTACGCAATGTCTTAAGCTCGAGACCATTAAACAACTTAAAATACAGACACTCCGCACGTGCTTTTACAGTGAAATACGTCACTCGAGTCTAATAATCCAATAGTATAATTAATGTACGATTGGCAAGTTGCCCGTACGATTATTTAAAATAATGGTACGCCAACATCAAAGGGTGACGTCACATCTGTATTTTAAGACATATTAAAGTCCGATCAAGCCAAATAAGAATTAAATATAACGTGTAAGAGCATATACAATATAAAGTGTAACTACAACGTAAAAAGCTATTATGTAAGATGAAGAGCTGGCAGTCAGAACATAGATAATGCAAAGGGAATATGCTAAACATTTCAGTCAAATTACTTCACTCTAAGCCGAGTTATCACCGTTATATGAACAGCATAGCCTTAATTGTCATTTCCACCATTGTGAAGATCATAAACAAAGTCTTGATTATCCATTTTTAAATTAAATCTGTTGAAACATTCTAGCATCCGATGACACCGGGAGTTGATTATGGTCTTGGTCAGTTAATTAATAATTTATATAACACTTAAGTACTATCGTAAGACCTCCAATAATCAGATTTAGCTCTTGCATGGTAATCTTGATTATTTTTGCGTTATGTGCACACACCAGTGTAGTCTTTAACAAAAGTCTAAATAGTAATCCATTAATTACATAAACTAACTTTAAAATGTAATTGTTACTTGCATATTAGTAACCGACTGCCATTTGACAAAGCTGTAGAAAGAACTGCATAAACCGACTTGTGTCCAATCATTGCATGTCCCTTATGTAACATGACCGAGAGTTTCGCTTACTTTATTAATAAAGTTAAACCTGACTGGCATATTCTTAACCCATTGCTATTTCAATAAAGATTTAGAAAGAATTGTATGCTGTGTGGTTACCTGATTTAGATTTCACTACTTTAGGTATTCCACAAGCTTCTAACGCTTCGTTTATATCTGGTAGGATATTCTTTCCTCGCTGACTTAAAATGTTTAGAAGCTTGATTGCACCTGTACGTTTACCTACAGCTCTATGTATACCAAAGTCCTTCATATCCATGTCATCAATAATCTCTCTTTTAAAAAGTTCATTTGTCCATAACATTTAAAACCAGCGTTGGGTAATTTTTCGTCCATAGTGTGTAGTCTTCATCTTTCATTCTTTCATCTTTAGACAAGTCTAACGGACAGGAACAAATAAAAACAATTACGATTGGATCCAAAGACTTGGAACGTTAAGATAGACGAAACTGGTTCTAAAAGCATATTTTAATATTAATGTAATGTGAATGCATAATTATGCAGTTATTTATATTCAATGTTTAAATGTTTTTTGTAATTTATAATCAATTATGTCCGGTGAAATACTTCAACCGTCCAAACTGAGAGGCAGCCGTTTCCGCCCGCTTATTCCATTCTACGCGTTTTTTTTAAAGTATTATTTTGACGTTTTTGAATCACCTATTACTAATTATTCCCATATTGCCTTGTAAAATAAGTTGTTCTTTGTTTGTTACACATGGCACCCAACACCATAGAGTAAACGGCAAGATAACAACATCAATGTTGATTGAAATGGACAGATATTGAAACCTAATTCGTGTTTTTAATTTGTATATTATGGAAAATATTGAGTTACAGGGTTAGCTCCTTTAAAAGTATAAAGCATGAATTTACTTTGAAGTTTTACTTTATTTCGTAAAAGAGATCTTTAGAAAGTAATTGCCTTGAAAATAATACACAAACCTTTGTCTAGCTTGACTGCAATTTCTTGCAGTCCATCAAACTCTTTGAAGGTTTCTACTATTATAGACATAGCATTTTCTCCACGTTCCGTTAACAAGTCTACAAGTTTATTTGCATCGTTAAATGGGTTGTCCTTGGCCAAATCCTTAAGGTTATCAGCAGTAACAAGATTTGTTCGTAACAGTCCAGTCTTCACGTCATTAAAATGATTCATAACAAACTGACTCAACACATTATTGTTTTTCCTCCATACTTTATAATCGCTGTACTTCATGTACGGGTAATCTTTAAATAAAAATAATTAAAGCTTTTTGATCAACATAGTATCGTTATTTTTAAACCATATTGCACTCCTTGTTTTTGCTTTAATCACGAGAACATTATTGTAATAGGGAGTCGCGTTCAATCTGATTAAAACACAAATTCTATTTCGTTTCGTTTTTTATAGTTCAAAATTTAATTTTCTATGTCTTTACTACACTAGGATCTGAAAGAGTTGTTGTATAACCTGATTTCTGGATTATGTGAGGGATTAGCCAATGAAACGGTCTTTTACGGCGAGTTTTTGGCATGAGGTGCACGGAACTGTGGGTAACCCACTAGGAACATAAACGCTGATTGGTTAATCAAATGTCTGACATCATAGGGTTTAACGTCGCTCGTATTACCTCTAACGCGACCTTCGACTACAACTAGTCAGATCTTCATTTAATAGAGGCCATCGAAGGTATACAAAACTAAACAGTATATAGATGTGTATTTTAATCAGATTGGAGCCGCGTTTGTCCAGTGAGCCAGGTGTTGGCTCGCTTACCACATAGTACGGGGATCGCTGCCGGTTTGTACACGACGGATAAAATCGCATCAACATATTTGCACAAAACTATTTATATTTTCAACAGCTGGTCTATCCTACGTACAGATTTCATCACTGGTCACTGTCTGCTTTATTTTTACTTCTTTTAATTAACTTTAAGATTGTTAATCGCCATATGAATTAGTGGATATGTGTTTGCAGCCATTTCCAGTAATATCGACAAGGCATATTTTATGTCTTGACAAGAAAATGAAAATCGATTAGCAGCTTACCTTTCCCTGATTGGGCTGTATTAAAATTTATATCTCGGTGCCCTGCAAAAGTTAAAGATGCAACATACAAGTATATAAAACGTTATACCCGAATTCCGCCAGTTTCCAATTTTTGCAACCATTCTTGAAAGCGATTATTCTCATTTTCTTAGCCACGGACACAGAGTTTTTGTTTTAGTTGAGTGGCCTAATGTTACAATAATATTATCTTGTTATTTAATCTTGTGTTTTGAAAAATTGTTTTGGGGGAAAATATTGTCCAATATATTGATATTACTGTAGAATTTGGTAGTTATGTTGTTTTGGATGTGTTTGTTGTTTTGAATTTTTTCTAGTGATGTTGCACGGCATCTTTTACTGGAACATCAATTTAGATATGCAACCTCGTGTCTAAAACCGCTCTATGTATACGTGTGGTCTCACGTGTTTCATACTGGAATATGGGTACCTCAGATGAACCAATATATAGTAGATAACACATTCCTGTTTGAGATTTATCTTGTCCGAATGGATAAATCTAGATTGGATCAATCCGAATGGATGAATTCGATACAGTGATGTGTTTATCGATATAATAGGAATGTTATATTGGTATATATCTTTGTTTGTGAGGATTGTTTCGTAGGAGTTTTGAGTATATTGCAACCGACTTTATTGTTTACTCTATGTCTCGGTGATTAAACAACTTCTCAGTCGATAATTAATATGTTTTAATGCGCAAAACACCCAGACCCTTGACACGTGATTATGACTAATATATGAACGATACGATTCATTGCTGTCCAGAATTTATGGTAGTTATTATTACATGTGTAGGTATATCGTCGCGAAAATGCTCATTATTTGTACTCTACCCCCTTTCCCATTAGTTCTATCAACTTGGAAATGTAATATTCATGTACCGCATCCCACAAATCACCGAATCGACATAGCACCCGCGTATGTTGTTATTTCTATTCAAATAATACTTTCCACGCCAATTGCTAACACCATTTTGGATTTTGGCCATCATATTGTGAACCACTCGTTTGTTGGACGAATCGGAAATTGTGGTAAATGAGTCCGACTACCAATAAAATTCGCATATTACAAGGGACAGTTCGTCAACAATGTTTGTAAAGTTGAAATTCAGAATATTTTTGGCTGGCATTTTATATTTTCTGCTCTCCTGATGTTAGTCCTTAGTTTTCAGTGGTAGCAACCTACAAATAACTTCACCTGGGTCATTTCTATAAGAAACCATCGCCACACCCTATTCCCCCCAGAATATGATGGGTCTGGGGTGTTGTGACCCGACTATTGTTATCTCCTAATTGCTAATGAAAATAAAAACCAAGAAAATCAGTAAGGAACCATATATGAAATCGATAATCTGCCTACCTTTCTTTGCATGTTTTGCTTTTCTTCTTCGATACCCTGAAATTTATATATACATTATACAAATTGTTTCCATGTTAAATTTAGATTTCTTTAATATAGTCTTAGCGAGTAGATTCAATGTTAATCGAGTTGAACATGTCCTAGATATAATTTAATATAAATTACTATAGACCAAGTTGTCTTGATAGCCATAAAAAAAACTTAATCAACAAGCCAGAAAATATTATCGGTCGAGGTTTTTTTTAAAAAAAAAAAAACTGCCTCTAGAAGATGAGCAAGGTTAATTCCTACCAGAGTGTAATGAAATGAGGTATAACGTCTCATTTTTCTGCACAAGGATTTGATGGCTGGGATAATTTCTATGGAAGACCAAACATCACTTTATTCAGTGTTCTTATATAGATCTTAATTCATAGTCCTTAATTCTTTTCTCTTCAGCTGTTGTCGTATTCCGACATTTGTACACTAACATTAAAATTTGTATCAATATTTAAAGTCTGACTTGTAAAACAAATATCGATTTTAAGATACAAATGTTAATTTTAGTGTACAAATGTCGGAATACGACAACAAATGAAGAATTAAGAAATAAGGACTTTGAATTAAGAACTAAAAATAACTCTGATTAAATAGTTGCTTGGTCTTCCATAAATTACATTATATTCTATTAACAAGACAACGTGTAATGTATCCCTTACTCGATATAAAATACTCACGTATATAAATGACTACAGTTACAGCTACGATAACAACCTCAACTACAACAATCCCGAATAAAGCAAATAAATATCTTGGGTGGCTTTCTCTTATGGACATTTCAACAACAGGGGGTTCTTTCTCTGAAACAGTAATGATGAATTAATTTAGATTGTGAACCATTTCGCTTGACGACATTTGTGAAAAAAGTAGGTTAGTGACGGCATAATACATTTTATTCGATTTGATAAATGTTATAAATTCTAATTTACTACCTAAACATCACGGATGCGTTCATTTAGGGTGCAAATTCTGCCGTAACTTTCTTCTTAATCTCTTCTTCCTTTTATGTAAATCCTCCAGGTTCCCGAAACATCTTGTGTTATATGTAACATAATTGGATGGATGTGTAAGCTGAATCACAAACTGACCAGATCCGATGTGTCAAACCATCCCTGCCACACATACTTTGCTTTGGCTTTGTCGCCGTTCTCAAACCGGATGTAGCATAGAAACAATGACTTATCTTAAAATATTTTTATATTAAGCAGGGTATAAGGTTTACAAGCATACGTCTACATAAAACCCAAAGATAAAACGTATTTAATTCTCTCCTCCCCACTCATCTTACGCTTCAGAGAAATTACTTCTGGTAACGTTATATCTGAAATGGGTCTAAAGATTTATCAACGCGCATGTCTGTTTAAAGGCTAATACGCCCTCAACCTAGAATGCGCCAATACTTGATTGGTTAATTTAATGGTGGAAATATTCATGACATCATATCTGGTAAAATTCCTCGTTATTTAACTGAAGGGCAAGTATGATAATAGTTTAAATACATAGAGAGGAAATGGTTTGGTATTGATAAACCAGTCAAAATATCAGTAGTATTACGTGATGTAAATCTTGTTAATGAATTTGGAACCAATATCATTAGCCCTCGCTATAAAACTTATAGGCAAACTTTGAAATATGTACGACGTTTCTGGACCCACCAGAGAACACAAGTGTTGTCCGATATTGATTTTAATTTTTTGGGTGCTTCCAGTGATATTATTCTACCTTTTACGCAAATTCTGTAACAAACTTATGGGCTCTCTAGTGTCATGTATTAGGAACATGTGAGCGTAAAGCCTATCGATTTTCATTCTTCCATATTCGTCCGTCCGTCCGCCCGTAGCAAACATTTCGCGGCCTTTCGTTCTAAAAACGAAATGAAATGGAGTTTTAGCGACCTACTGTTCTGCTCCGAATGGGTTAATGAAGACGGCGTTCTGAAAACATTGGAGTCTTGTCCTGTTTACGGAAAATATTGTGAACGCGATAGATGCTACAATTTTAATAAATTATTTTCAAATTAAGCGTGGAGCATTGTGGCCTTAAGAGGACGAACACTATCATTCATGATTCATGATTCTTGTTTCTACATTCCAGTTTGACAATTTTAGACACGAACGCAACATTCTAAACTAATGATTCTGTTCTACATTCTTATGTCAACATTTCATGCACAAAATCAACATTTTAAACAAAAAATTGACTTTATGTTTCATTTTCGGCGTTTTATCGGCAATTTTTATATATCATTAAATATTAAAATTAAAAAATAATTTCTTAATTTTACACGACAAAGAAATCAATTCATTGGTTTCTGAAAGTATCTAAAAACAAATCTGGAATTTGAACTCTTATGAAAATATTTTCTACGTTTCAAAAATCATTAAATATTAAAATTAAAAAATAATTTCTTAATTTTACACGACAAAGAAATCAATTCATTGATTCATAGAAAAATTAGGACAAAGGCCTTTCTTACATATTCGCTGTTATTTGTTTACTTTTTCATGTTTACAAATTAGACCCACACGTGTTTCGAATATGGCAACAATGGATGATAATTCTGTGTTTTAAATGAAATCTATTCACTGTTATTTGTTTACTTTTTCGTATTAACTATAACTATAGAATAGTGTTTGTAAATTAGACCTACGCGTGTTTCGAATGTGGCAAATATGGATGATAATTATGATTTCTAATCTATAGTCTGTATCAAAGTTGTACACATACGCTAACGCCCTCTGGTGTAATAATGTTGATAATTCATTATATTTTTCTGGACATTTTCATTTCAAGATTTTAACTTCAAGACTTTTTGAAACGTAGAAAATATTTTCATAAGAGTTCAAATTCCAGATTTGTTTTTAGATACTTTCAGAAACCAATGAATTGATTTCTTTGTCGTGTAAAATTAAGAAATTATTTTTTAATTTTAATATTTAATGATTTTTGAAACGTAGAAAATATTTTCATAAGAGTTCAAATTCCAGATTTGTTTTTAGATACTTTCAGAAACCAATGAATTGATTTCTTTGTCGTGTAAAATTAAGAAATTATTTTTTAATTTTAATATTTAATGATATATAAAAATTGCCGATAAAACGCCAAAAATGAAACATAAAGTGAAATTTTTGTTTAAAATGTTGATTTTGTGCATGAAATGTTGACATAAGAATGTAAAACAGAATCATTAGTTTAGAATGTTGCGTTCGTGTCTAAAATTGTCAAACTGGAATGTAGAAACAAGAATCATGAATATTGTCCCATTTGGTCTTCCATACTTTTCCGGATACCTTGTGAACTTGATTTATTTTCAAATGAGGTTTATCATTAACTCTCCCATACTTTCGAAAATATTGTGATTGCGATGGAAGCTAAATTATTTATTGGATTTGATTCAGAACTGGTATGGATCAATGTGGATCACCATATACCTGATAAGCTGAATCTTTGACAGACACAATTCCTGTAATAAAAAACATCTCATCAAAGGATCATGCCTATGTCATTTAACTGTGCTACTGGAATATAAAAACTGTCAAATTATATAGATTTGTAACTAACCGTAAAGCGGCATCCCATGACTCGAACTAGATTTTCCGTCTTCAAAGGTAATCTTGCAGATATAGGTAAAGTTATAATCTTCTTGAGTTGTTTGGAGTAAAGACAGAGTTATCTTTCCATTGATACCATCAAGCTTTGTTATATTAAAACTCAGCCGATCTACAAAATCCAGTGACTTTGGTGAAAACACATCAGTGTTCCAACTACCAACTGCAACCGCCTGTTAAAAATAAATTGACAATTTTAGTCCGATAGCTCATTGGGGAGTATCGTCACCAGAAAGGGGAATTTATGAGACATAGTTTTTCTAGATCTACTGCTGTGTAGATTCTTGGTGGCGATCAGGCGTTTAGAGGGGGGGGGGGGGTCAACAGTTTGTGTAGATTTCGATTCTGGGTGGTAATCAGGCGTTTGCGTGGGAACTTCCGAGATATGTGACGGAGAGGACCACATTTTTAAATTTGAGCTTGACTAACAGTGCTGAAGAAAAAACTCGTATAATATTTAATTGTCAGGTTAATTTTGCATAGTTTCCAATTCATCCCAAAAACTTCTGATTCAATATGCCGGCCATAATTCAAAATGTCACTTCTTGAAAATGGCCACGGGTCTGGGTTTTGTGCCCCGATTAGCCTTTTCAGTCAGTTAGATACTAAATGATCCAGCCCTTGGATTCCATTGGACTGAAAGGTGATGGTTCACAGAACCTGTATATTCTTACTCACTGGTAACTTGAACTGTCGCTATGAAAAGAGACTTATTTTGCTTAGGCCTTAATCAGATCAATACGCGTGTGGTTTGTTTAGAAGTAGAATTCTAATATATTGATATTGTAAGGCCCCGCGTTTCATGAACGCGTTTCGTTTTCGCAGATTTTTTCCCGAAGGAAGTGTGCGATTGTGTGCACAAATGGATGTTTATGTTATGGGGCACAAAAATGGCTTTTTCTTCCACTAAGTCATCAACCACTCTTGTTGCTGCAATTTCAGGATTCAAATGTCAGTTTGGACATGGTGCTATTACAAAAAGGCGACTACTGCACGTAAACAATATCGAGCTCCAGGCTTTGAAGAGAAATCCTGACCTATGGCGTTATTTGCGTGTTATTCTCCAAAATTTGATTCAGAGATTGTTCGTTACCGATGAAAATACAAAAAAATCCCGCGCGAATATGTATACATGGAAAGTGGGTCTTAGACTGTAAACCGTAGTAATATGTCTACCTTTGTATTTTTGTTATAACGAGTAAATATGATAGTGTCTACTGGCAAGCCATACTCATAATACCATACAAACTGAATATCATCTTGAGGTTGACCTCTAATTTCACTGACATCACTATAGATTAATGGTGCTAAAAGTAAACAATGTGATTAATTATCGTTGATGTTTTAGTTTTAAAATCAGTTTATTTTGGACATACTTATGGAAGGGTATATTATGCCAATATTAAATGCTCTGCGACAATGTCGTTTCCATTGATTATATGTAAAAAGTACAATGTACAAAGTCCTAATACCGATGATAATAATGTCCAAATATCTCTTAAGGCAAGAGTTAAATGTAAAACGTCAAATGTTAAGTGTCAAATGACAAATGGGAAAATGCTTTTTTTTTTACGTGTCTACACTTTTCATTCCTCTCATTACATTTTACATTTGCGTTCTGCCGCATCTCATTTGTCCTTCACGCTTTCTACATAACAACTTTCGCACAGCATCAACTTTCATATGCAAATGTAGGATATCACGTGACTTATTAACCTATACGGAAACCCGGCACACTATAAACCAACACACTATAAGTATATTCACCGCACGATAACAGTAAATCAAGCTGGCACATTATAAGAAACTATCTAGACGACCGTGCGTAACCATGAATGTGCCAGTAAATAAATGATAGATGGAAAGAGCCCACGAAACATACTTTCCAGTAATTTATAACACAATAACTGGAATTTCTTATTGATACCCGTATTTTGATATTTTAAATACCCCCCCACTCTTTCCGGTCTCTCTATAAACAGAGTTAAGTACAGCCTAATTAACTTTGATCTATTTAAAAAAAAAACAATAATATATATTATCCCCCCTTTCTATTTAATTGATTTCTAGCTTTATATATAATAAGTTCGATATTTGTTGTATTGTATTAATGTTCGTTTATTTGTTACATGTATATTTGTTGTATTGTATTAATGTAATTTTTGTAATTGTATGCTG